TGGAAACTTCTTTGTAATCTTAAAGTAATTTCTGCACGACAGACACAGGGATTCTTTACCGAATCTTTTCATAAAATTCAAAATCTAAAAAGTTATTAATTTTTATTATTGTATTATAATTACACGCAAAAGTAATAAACGATTTACTACATAAAGATATGTTTTAAATATATCAAACCTTTAATTTCTGTTCCAATTCGAGATCGCACTCAGCAAATCTTCGGATGTCTTGAAAAGACGTTTGCATCTGAAAAAACAATTAAAACGCATTTAAAAGATCTGCAAATGTAGTAAATACTGAAATTTTCGATAAAAATACATTACAGCAGATGTGAAGGCGGATAACAAGAATCCGACTAAAATACAGACAAAAGTATAAGTAGCGCAGAGCAGAAAAAAGACAACTTTCAACGCAAAATTTACTTCAGAAAAACTGAAAATGAAGTACATTAGACTCGTTTCCATTAACAAAATACCGTACAATATTGTTAATACGTAATTGAACGGTCCGTTGAGTTGATTGGTAAAGTTCCAAAGTTCGTCGTGTTGCGCGATAATTTCATTCAGTTGAGATTTCAAATTTCGAATTTTCTTTCTCTTCAGATACAAATTTTCTGAGAGTTTTTCGAATGCCTTCATTACAATAAAGTGAAAGAGAACGAGGAACGTAATAATGTGTATTAAAGCACCAACGATTAAAGTGCCGCAGATACCGATTTCAATTGAGCAGATAAATGGTTCGTATTTAAAAGACTTTCCTTTTTCTAAAGCAGGATAAAGTAAAAAAGCGATTATACATTCAAAAATTATCGTAAAAGTAACAGTTATAATTACTACGAAAAGTCGTAGAGTATTGATAGTAGCATATAACTGATGTTCAAAAAAACGATATGATTTTTTTAATTGTATTTTTGAAATCAGTTTGACTCTTTTGACAATACTAAATACTACAGTCACGGCCAAAGTAATACTTGCAGCTGCTACTCTTACAAATATGTCATACTCGAATACCGAGAACCAGGAAAAGCAAGGAGTTACGTCCGATACATAAGGAAGTGTCATACATATAAGAAGAAAGGAATGAATCCAATACAGGCATTCAAGAAATAAGATGTAAAAGTTGAAAGGTGTGCGAATGCGACCGTCAGTGTTTAAATTACGGGAGCAAGGAGTAAAAAATTCCAAGCCGTAGACCTTAAAAATTAAAGTAACTGAAGAGAGAAAACACTGCAGACATATTTCCTCTTTCTGATTATTAACCGCGTGATTTTCGCTCGAGATGATTCTTATCATAATTTTCAAGTAAGTGAATTAAGCGATAGTAAAATAAAATATATAATTTAATTGAAAACAATCACTCGCAGTTATTCTCTTCTCACGTAAAAGTAAATCCAACACTTCTGTGTAGAAAGCAGACTGAATGCCAGCTTTGAATTAAAATTTTACTGCGTAGTCACTTATGTAATATAAGTGATATTATTATAATAATATGTATTGATTTGCTATATAAACGAGATTTTTATTGTACTTTAAGTGAAATGGAATTTTGATGCGATATTTCTAGAAACTCTTTGCAATTTTAATTTTTGAACAAACACGACAGTTAATATTTATAGAAACTTTCTTATTAAGTTAATTGCCTTTTCCAATTTATCGAATATGTCATTCCGTACTTTCTAGGTAGATAGGCACTTAACACGATGTTTATTTTAAAAGTGGAAGTAAAGTTACGGCGAGCGAAGGGGAGAAGTTTCATGCCAGACACGTGTGTGACCGAGATACAGTGGGTGATCGGTTAACGAACAAATCGGATAACGAACACTTTCGCGAAAGATTTTTTGATCGGACAACGAACGCTTCACTGAAGAAACATAAAAAGAAGCGACGAAAATAGCAAATACCAATTGATTTTCCTTTGTCTTCAGATAACTTTTTGGAGCGCGGGAGACGTCAACGTCGACGCTCAACCCGATATATACTGATCAGATAGTATTCCTCGAACTTTGAAATAATCCCTTGTAATTCCAGCCTTTTATTTTTCTGAAAAACAATTGTTTTATAGTATTCGCGAGACTGTCGGGCGGGCACTCGTTAAGTTTTGCGTCGGTTTTTATTTTCGAAAGGTGAGATTATAATAACAAAGATAGAGTGTGGGCAGAAGATGTCTGATGTTACTGGGAATTATGGCTCGATCAGGTCTATAGTAAAAAGGTCAACCTGCTAAAGGAGTAACAAAATTTCACATCTGAGAAATAAACAACATCGAAGAGCTCGTAATGGAACCCGAAACTGATGTGACGACAGAAAAACACTAAGAAACTCGGCGAGATATGTTTATTATGAGAAAGAGGATTAATGCCGATATCTGCAAATATTAGTTAAAGATTTTTTGAAGTGGGAGATGTCAGATCAACGGTCTTAGAATGGCATACAAACCAGGTTGAATGTAATAGGCTTGGGGATCTCTACAATTACAATGCTATTAATTCTGAAAATCATCAATAAAATGATGATTTTTATTGAAAATCATCAATAAAAGAGAAAAGCAATCGACATTAGACATTATTTAACCCACACTAACAAAAAAACATGACATAAAATTGCAAGTCAGCGTATGTATGTATTTTTATTATTACATATAACGTAGTAAGAAAGTACATATATATATATATATATATACTTTTTTACTACGTTTATTTATATTAATTTCGGTTAACGAACAATTCGGACAGCGAACAAAGTCTTGGAACGGATTATGTTCGTTAACCGATCACCCACTGTACTGTACCTCTCATTCGAACCTGTTTATTTATTTATTTCTTCTCCTGTGAATTATTAAACCGCTCGCATTCGATGAATCTTCGTCCATTGTACGCGAGTGCCCATTGATAAATACAGTAGAGAATCGATTATCCGAAAGCCAATCATCCGAAAGAATTCCAGTCCGCAAATTTAAATTTTCGCCGGTGCTGTGGCGCTGCAATCTTTGGCTATGTCTTGGGCTACTCAAATATTCTACGTTTTTGATACTAAATTAACATCTGAAGTATAATTTTTTTATTGTTTTTATATTTTTCAATATATTTATTTTGTTCGTACAAAATAAAGTAATAATTTTTAACGATACAATAGCCACGATTATTATTTTAAAAAGTTTACGTTAGGCTTAACAGAGACGAAAATTCAACGCGAAGCGACATGCATCGGAGAAAAATGTCAAGATGGGATACATTAATATATTTTTTCGTACATAATCGGTTATCCGAAACACCGATCTTCCGAACAACCCTAGTCCTCAATTGATTCGGATAATCGACGCTCTAATGTACGATAATTGTATCTTAAAAAAAACTAGTAACGAGTTATTTACCTATTTACCTCCAGCAACATTTAATGGTGCCATCTATCGAAATAATTGAAGTCAAAACTTGACGGTTTTTGGTTTTAATCGTAAATATTCAGTGCATTTTTGAAAAAACACTTACATCGGCAAAACTCTTTCTTCTGTAAGGGCTTTATTAACGATAATAAAGACACGCGGAATGATTTTCAGGCTTTCAATGCAGTTCTTTAAAATAGTTTGCCTACATTGTATCAGTGGCGTACCGTAGAGGGGCGGTAGGGCCGGTCCGCCCCGGGCGGCATATTTTAGGGGGGCAAAATTTCAAAATAAATAATAATAATATGTTGTAAAATTCTGAAACATTCTAATCTATACTTGCACCGCGCCTACGATAGTGCTATCGTCCGGACAGTCCGGGAATCAGCTCGCCGGGTGAACTAGTAACATTTTTATCAGAGGACTTTTTTTTTGCTTGTACGATTCATTCGGGTTCATATACACTACTAAATCCAATAGAACTATTTTAAACAGGTCGCTGCACTACCACTGAAGTTTTTATTGCCTGTTCTGTGACAAAACTGAATTCTGAATTTTGGTCTTTTATATTGAAATACCTAAATAAGGGGGCGAAATTTTCTTCCGCCTTGGGCGGCTGACACCCACGGTACGCCACTGCATTGTATAAAAGTTCGTGAAAAGTTTGACACAATAATTGAAGATTGATTTTCGTGCCTATTGAGGCACGAAATTTTTAATTTTCTTGCCTCAATAGGTTCAGTTTAATTGTAATCATACTGTACTTTGTCTACTTAATTTTGCCTCTTTTTTTTTGCTTTCGGGTAAATGAGAAAATATTGAAATCGAGAAAAAAAATGGAATGATTTAAGCTAGAGATTTAATTTATTACAATGTTATGTTCACAGAAAATATAGTAAATCTTTTATTATTCGGAGACAAATAAATGTTATCAGGTAGTTTTAGGGCGACACCCTGCTGTAAAAAAATAAAAGAAGAATGCGTATTTATATATTTAAATTAGAATTTATATTCCTCTGAAAATTTTATTTTCACATCAATTCCTGTCAAACGTTCATTGTGGGTTCCACGTGCCCGAAACAAAGCTGTGGAGTGCTAAGGGATGGCGACCGACGTATCTCTTCCACCACATCTGATAAATTGGCGGTGTTTTTCAACCCGTTCAGATTCTATACCGGGTCACCGGGGGCGTGCTGTGACATTTGACGATAGGGAANGGGCGACAGCGCGCTGTAAAGAAATAAAAGAAGAATGCGTATTTATATATTTAAATTAGAATTTATATTCCTCTGAAAATTTTATTTTCACATCAATTCTTGTCAAACGTTTATTGTGGGTTCCACGTGCCCGAAACAAAGCTGTGGAGCGGTAAGAGATGACAACTGAGATATCTCTTTCACCATATCTGATAAATTGGTGGGGGTTTTCAACCCGTTCAGATTCTATACGGGGTTATACAACAAAATAGGATGTAACCTTGCCCACGCGGCCAACCTACTCTGCAAGTTGAAACGAAGCAATACACAAAATGTCTATTAATATATATATATGAATATATGAACGGTAAATAAAAACTATTAACATACAGTCAAAAATACAAGATGTATTATTAATGCATTATTGTGCAACAACCGATTCGCATTGTTTTAACTTTAACAAGTCTTCAGCAAATTAACAAGTTGCAATTCGAACTCTTTCTACAGAAACAAAGCGAAAATGGCGGAAATAAAAGAAATTGTGAGTCTAAGTTGACAATTAAGATAAAGTTGATATATTTTGTATCGTAATTGACGATGCATTCAACAAGCATTGCGCAATTACATTTAATAAATCATTTTCTTTTGTAGGAATTGCCAAAGCCGTCGGTTCCCGAGCTCTCCGTCACCCTAAACAGATTCTTGGAAGGAATCAAAGCAATTGTTTCCGGTGACAAATACGAGGAAGCTCGTACATTGGTCGAAGAATATCAAACGTCGGGCGAAATGCAAAACCTGCAGCAGTTCTTGAAGGAATATGCAGAAAACCACGAAAATTACGTGAGTTTTTATTCTTTCTCGACAAGCCGTCTCACTACAAATAACAATACACAAATATACATCTTTTCCAGGTAACCGAGTTGTGGCTGAACGATATGTATTTAAAAAATCCTTTGCCTCTGCCTATCAACTCCAGTCCATTTTTCCTGCTGCCGAAGCAAGAATTTCATTCAAATGAGAAAAGATTTCGGTAATGGTTTCTCGTAAAATAATTATTCATAAGTAATTTTTCCTATTGATGACTGTGGATTATTTCACAGATTTATAGCGAGATTTATCATCTTTTCGCTTATGTTCAAGCAAAGAGTTGACAGGTAAACGGACATTAATTATAAACAAGATTTCCAATAAGGAAACTGTGACTAAGATGACTCATTTGTTGCAGCGGTGAATTAAAACAAGAATTTTCTGGGGGACAAAAGAAAGGGAATGCGCTTTCCATGGCCACGTATCATCACTTCTTCACGGCTTACAGAAGACCAGGCGCGACTAAAGACGAGCACGTTTTTAGTGAAGGCGGCAGCAGACATATCATTGTGATCTGCAACAATCAGGTAAGACTTTTACTGAATAAAGAAAACAATTTCATTTATCTTCTTTATAACTTTTCGATATATCGAGCTTGTCACTTTATTACTGCATACATTATATATTATATCTTTTTGCATATGCATATACTGCTATTGTTTGTTACATTTATTATTTCTATATAAAAACGTTGACTGTATTATTCGATATCGATAGATACGATTTAATTACAAACGACTAATTCGGAATATTACATGATCACAGTTATTCGCACTATTAAAAGCGTCGATAACACCAAGTGATCGATGTTAGTACTGCTATTCTGATTATTGATGATTTCTCTGATCGGACTGTTCCCAACTTTCGAAACCTACCTCATATAATTTTCGCAATTTCTACGAGAAGTAGACATTGTTAATATTTGCGTGCGAGTCGAAACGAGGTGGAAGCTGGGACTTTTTCAGATTTTCTTCGTGTTTTTAATACGTAAATAGCGTCCTTATCCCGGAAACAATTCCATTTGGGAACATTGCCTATCATATTAATTCAATGCAAGTTTTTACATTTTAAGACAATCGCTGCTAATGAGATATTAAGTGATTTAAAGTTAGTGGTTATAATATTTCACGCTTTTGTAAATGGACGAAAAGTATTAAATTTCGAATGAAGTTTATTAGAAACTGACACAAAACGTTATTTGGAAACGAGGAAATGTTGCAAATATTTTCTGATATTATACATTAGTACAACACCTAACAAAATACAGGGGAAAACAATCTAATTTAAGAAGATTTCGATTTATTTAGGTTTCTGAATAAATTTTCTGTTCTGGAACATAAAATTACTATTTTAAGAATTCAGAAATTAATTCTTTTATAATCTTTCGTGATACCGAATGTGTCATTTTGTATACATTTTTTTTATTTGTCTAAACGCGAAGAAAACAACCTCGTTGAAGTGTAGACTGTGAGACGGCAGAACGAGCAATTCTATTGTGTCGAACACTGCTATTTTTCTGTATTTTCCATTCGTAGATTTTCCATGCTCAACTATATTTTCAAAACGAACTTTGTTAGTCAAATCTTTCGTTTTCCAGTGCCTTTTGCCGGGTGGTTTTCACGGCTTTATGTTCCTACGTATAATTTCTTTGTTGTTGTTTAACAGTTATTTGTGTTGATGATACCCGGTAGAATAGCTCTTCCAAGTGAAAAAGCTCTGGTAGAAAAACTCCAGAAAATCGATATTCTCAGTGAGCAGGAGCCACACTATCCGCCAGTGGGTATTCTCACGGCTCTCAATCGAAAACAATGGGCAAGCATAAGAGAACGCATGATCGAAAGTGAGAGCAAACCGAACAATTTTTTAGATATTAAAAATTCTCGATCGTTAACTCAAATTTACGAATACGCAGATAAAAATAATAAAGAATCCATTCAAATTATTGAAAACTGTTTGTTTGTGGTGTGCATGGACGAATCGAACGAAAACCTGTGGAAACCAACAAGATGGGATAGCATTTCAAAGGAGAGGATGGGACAAATGGCCAACCACATCCTTCACGGCAATAAAAGCGAACATTCCACCGGTAACAGATGGTTCGATAAATTTATTCAGGTAAAATTGATTCATTGCAAACAACTAACACTGTTAAGAAGTTGACGGTGTCTTAATGATTTTAACCGAGTGTCGCGTTGGGTTATTGCTTACACCGACGATATGGTTTGAATAATATCCGGTAAATCGAGGAGTGAGCTGGACTCCTAGTGAAAAGTGGATGGTAAAATTGCAAAATTGGCTAGTGGTTAAGTCGGTGGCGATACAATTGTCTGTGGTTAAGTCGGTGGCGATACTCTTAAAATGTAGCACCAGAGAAGAACGGCCGCCGACAGTCAGGCTGAATGATAAGGTTATAATGTGAGCAGACTCCGTTAAATGGTGTAATCGGGGCCGGTGTGAGTATAACGCTACACGTTACTTATATCACTGAACGGTGTACTAAGCTTCTGCATGCTATACCAGAAAATTAAGAAGGAATGGCGCTTCAGCTTCAGGATTTTGTATTTTATATAAAGGTTTGTTTTTAATTCCATTTATGTACGGTATTTTAGTACGGCATGTCCTTCGAAAAGGCTATCGTAAGTTAAAAAATAAAAAGGGCCCAAAGAATAGTCCTATTAATTTTAACTAAAGAGTAAAGTACTACTTCTACGGTAGTTATAAGGTAATTATTGGGCTTTTACCTATTGACTTAGAGTTAGATAAGTGGTGTTATAATATTCGTATAAGTAAAGGCACGGTTTTCATCTATTGAGGAGTGGTGTAGGACGGAACAGATAGCTTTGCCAAGACAAAGAAAACTGAGGTCTCGTATAAGGCATGTGGCGAGATCAGTGGAACGGGTGTTCTAAAGGGAGGATCACACGTCTTATTTATATTGGGTTTTCCCCCAATATAAATAAGAGGTTGAAAGCAAATTGAATTGAGCAAAATTATTATTCCTTCCAAATGTTAGATGGACATGGTGATTTAGTCGTTCCACCTGGTTGATAGTGACCTTTGTGTGTATGATTCTGTCGACACCCTCCAGCATTTTATGTTAGGATGTGGTTCAGGGGCGTAGCCACAGTGGAACAGCTTGCCCTACCCTGGCTCATTTAGTCAAACGATAAATTATAGGTCAATAGATTATAATAGTATTGTACGGCAAAGAGTATAAAGATTTGCACGAATTCGCGAAATCTCACACGTCATCTCTAGTAGCGGTGATACGAAATACGGTCGCCGCAATAAAAGAAATAATAAGATCGTCCGAGAATCGGTCGTTTGTCGAAAATCCATACCAAATATACTAATGCTGTGTGAAACCCGTTGGTCTCAAAAATATAAAAGTATCGCCACATTCGAGGAACATTATAGGTAAATCGTCATGACCCTTGAAAAACTATCAACAGACGCTATGAGACGAGACAATGCAACGAGAAAAGTTACTTTTCAAATGCATTGCGCCGCTACAAAATCAGAATTCATTGTTAGTATTTGTCTTATAGCAAAATATTCAGCGCTGTAGCAACCGGTGGTAAACGCTCTTCAGTCACAAAGCGTGGGCTTATTTCAATGTGCAAATCACATAAAAAAATCACAGACATCGTGAGAATACACCGTGGAAATGCGGTGTTTGAAAATCAAAGTGTTATATACTTTTGGTGAGAATTGTTTACCACAATATGTAGTACACCACACGCGTAACAGTTTTCTAGATAAAACAATTTTCTAGCACCGTCGTTATTACGTCGTTACGACATCAAACTGTATCCAGTGAAACGAGAATAAATTTTACGATACACTTTATCAAAATAAATGAACATGTACTTAAAAAATTTAAGGTGCAGTGAACCGCGGGTTGAACATACCCGGTCTAGTAGACAATGGTGTTGCACTGAAGTCGGGGGAACTTGCTGGTACGCTCACCAGGTACTAATACACTAAACCAAAGTATATCGAGCAGTTTGTGTACGAATACAAAAGAATGAACACTTTTTTTTATATTAATTTCACTTGATTGTCATCTTGTTTTGTCATAAGTCTGAATTTCAAGTTGATTAAAAGAAAATTCTAAATTAACTGTATTTCTCTAATTTTACTATAACATGGTACATAAATCGATGCCCGATTGTTTACTCTCGCCTTTCTGTAGTTTATCGTGACGAAAAATGGCGTGAACGGAATTGTGATCGAACGTTCGGTGTCGGAAGGGATTACAGTTTTAAGATTCTGCGAAGAATTTCTGGATTTTGTGTAAGATTGTTTTATCTGTTAAATTAAATATTGGGAATGGAAGTAAAGTGTTTATAATTTTTGCAGGAGAAAAGATCAGCCGAAGAGATCATCCGACGATCTATTGAGAGTCAAAAGACTCATTTGGGACCTCAATAAACCTCTCGAAAAGGAAATCAGAAATGCATCGGCCGTCACAGACGCGTAAGATATTGTAATTTTGACGATCCGCGAATAATAATTATTACTAACGGTCAGAGAACAAACAAAAAGATGTCAGTTTACGCTTTGTTTACGTAATTTCTTACGAGTTACGATACGTAAAACCACATGTAAAATGACTAAGTATGTGGTGTTTAAGTGTGAAAAGACATTTATTTACAGAAAATTGCCATCATTCGATGCTGATGTACTATTTAGTAGATTTTTTTTTATTCAATCAGTTCACAGACGTGAAAACTAACATAATTTATCGAAAGAAACTCGATGGAAATCATAGATGCAATCTCGGCTCAATTTTTCTGTTCTTTTTAAGAAGTCCTTGGACAAATTCGACTTCTAAAAATATTTATTATTTAATTCATTTGTCAGTTCAACACAGTTCATTAACAGCCTAAAATAATTTCAAGTTATTTGTGGATCATAGCCAATTCCATACAGCAAAATTTAATATTTGAATATAATTCTTTTTAAAAATCATTTTTCGAAACACATTTTAGGAGTCTCTCGTTAGCTGCGCACCCGTTGCACCTACGTTATGTTGACACTCGTTGTTATTTAATAACAACGAGTGTCAACACAACGTAGGTGCAACGGGTGCGCAGCTAAGTTTATCTTCGAATTTTGAATCACGCTGCATATATATAAATTTTAAATTGATATATATGCAACGTGATTCAAAATTCGAAGATAAACTTTACAGCTTTATTTCATTTCACCACTAAAGACAATTATTTTCCGAAGGAGGTATAAATATTGTCTGTAAACATTATTTTCAGATTAATCGACACGCTGGAACTCACTGTTTTTATATTTGACTATTACGGCAAAAATTTTCCGAGGAAACAAAAAATCAGTCCCGATGTGTTCATTCAGTTGTGTTTGCAGTTGACGTACTACAGGTTCGTTTAGACGACGATTCACTTTCCTTTAATGCCTGTTTGAGTGTAATTAATTAAATCAACGACGCTGTTATTTTGTCATCAGAATGCATGGAAAAATGACGGCCACTTACGAAAGTGCCGCTTTGAGGAAATTCAGATTCGGTCGCATCGACAACATCCGCGCTTCCAGCCAAGAGGCTTTGGATTTCTCAAAGTCCATGTTAGATCCTTCCCTGAGTCAGGTCAGTCGATTGCAAATTTTTTAATTATTACAAATCCTTATTCTTATTGACTTATCTTTAGGCTGAAAAATTGGATAAATTCCGAAGAGCCGTTAAAAAGCAAACCGAAATGCTTCTCTACGTAAGTAGTAAACAACAGTAAATAAATTATCAGAATTACTTATCAATTTTATGATTGTGATAATATGTGTCATCGCTCAGACAATCAACGGAGAAGGACCGGATAACCATCTTCTGTGCTTAAAGGAAATGGCTGCTCTGCACGGTTTACCAGAACCCGCACTTTATCAAACAGATTATTACAAAGAGTTTTTGGATTTCCGCTTAGCCACCAGTCAGGTAGGACATCTTTCTGTTTATTGATTAAGTGTTAGCGAGTGGAAGAAAATTAATTGATTGGCTTTTTGTAGGTTCCAACGACGTACAACATCACAGTTGGATACGGTCCCGTAGTGCCCGACGGATACGGATGTTCGTACAATCCACAGGAGTATAGTATTATCTTTTGCATTTCGTCGTTCAAAAACAACCCCTCGACGGACTCGGAGAAGTTTGCACAGAACCTGCAAGTAAGTTTGTTGGAGGTAAAGGAGCTTTGTAAGAGTGGAGAGACTGCAGTTTCCACCAGGTGATTCTTTGTTTTTTAACTATTCGTTGGTGTTTTAAAGAATTGAATTACTCACGTGGTGTTGTTTTAGCTCACCGACAAAGACTGCAGTTAAAGCCGAAACAAAGTAATGGAATAAAAAGGAGTTTTCTTGCGGTTTAATCTGCAGTGTTTTTGCATCAAAATTATTTTAATAATGATTTAAAATCGGTTTAATAAATTTACGAAAACTTTCCTTGTTCGTTTTACTCACCTGACCGTAATTTATGTAATATACAGTTTTTCAATAATAAGGTAGATTTGTCGTTCTCATAAAGAGATGATATAAGAAAATTGACGGCAATTCAGTAGATTTTGATACAATACGAAGACGTTTGACATAAGAAAAATTAATATTTATTCTTTATATTATAGCTTTTCTACAATATTAAAGAGTTAATTAATAATTTCGGGCGATGTTCGGTAATTTTCGATTTGCTGCAAATACCTTACTTCAATTTCAGTTCTTATTATTGATATTTCACTATTAAAAGATGTAAAACTGTCGTTTGTAAATAAAATAGATATGAACAAATCAGCGCATAAATAGAAAAAATAAACTACAAATTAGCACTATGATATCAAAAAATGGAAAGCAGACTGTTAATTTCGAAGCAGAAGAAAAACCAGCAAATACCGACCGAAAACCAAGGTGTAGTATACAAAATTCCGTGTACCTGCGCAAACAAAAAACATTACATAGGAGAAACAAAAATATACAGAAAAAAGACAGTATAAATAAAAACTTAAGTCTTAAAATAAACGAAAACTGGATTAGTATATTATAAATAATATTTTTATAATAAATTTTTTTTTATTCTTCTATCGAACGTCATACATGGCAACACTTAAGATAGCAGCGCATAAGAAAAAAAAAGAGGGTGGAAGGTAAAAAGGGGGAGGAAACAGCTAAAAAAATTTTTACAGTTGTGTTGTATCGAAATATGCCTAAAAGAGAAGATTTTAGAATATTTTAACCTTTTAATTTATAATATATACTAGTTTTACAAAGATTAAAGCAAATTTTATATGTTTTTAAATTATACAAAGTGTAACCAAAATGGTACGTCTATATATCGTTTATGTACTAATTGTTTTATGTAAATTCTCTACTGTAATAAGTTAAAATATATATATTGTATTTTCGTTGACTGAATAGGGGCAAAGCCCGAAACGAGTAGGGGAAGGGAGGGCAGGATGGAAGGTTTAACTTTATGATGTAAAAAAAACATAAAACAACATAATATAAAGCTTTTATTTTAATCAGTCTCGACAGAGATCTTAGATGGTTAAAAAACTGTGTAATTAAAAATAATTAATATTAAGCATAAAACCTATTAGGAATCATGAAGTAAAAACGTAAAAAAATTCCATCTTGCCCTCACACTGAAGGCAAGATGGAATACCTAGGATATCCGTACATTTTACAATTGACACACGAAAAACATCCATCTTTTGTGTCTGTGCATAGTGCATGTGCCCAACCACAACACACTGGACACTGTATCCAGTCATCTGTGGGCGGTTCCAAATATGGTTCTCCACATAATACACAAAACCTTCATTCATCGCCATCTGCAGTTTCTTCAGTCCAAGAACCTCTGTTGCTCTTTCTTATATACTTATTCACCATCTAGAAACAATTACATCCTCAATTAGTTAGATAAATTCATAACAGAAATCAAAATAATTGCGCTTGCTACATGGAAACTATTCCATCTTGCCCAAATTCCCATTGACGATAATCCGTATCGACTCGACTAATAAAGGAATTTGATGGAAAACTTGCCATGTGTCTTTGGAATAAAACACAATACTAGTGTTTACTACGCTACAAATATTAAAGTTTCTTTTTTTACATACTTAATGAACTATTTTTAATGATAGAATGGCGAGATAGAAGTAATTTATGTCCGTAATCTTCGAACTTGTCCCCCAATAATGCGTTGACAATATTAATACATACGATACTTTTAATACAATTCCCTGCTATCTATAACAGAAATAATACTTACAAGAGAAATAATTTACAAAATAGTGAAAGGGATTTAAATTAAAAAAAGAAATTTAATGAAATAAGGTAAAATTCTAAAAGACTGGAACTGTGTTTCCTTTCTTAATATTAAGTTACAACATAAAAGGATTAAGATTTTAAGAATGTTTTAGGAAAAGGCAACTAAAGAAAATATAAAATTCTTTGGAAAATGGAGTAGTACAAAACAACGTTGAACAAAGTGTACACGTATTCCTGGTATGTGGTACATTTTGTTCAACCCGAGAGTCGGGTTCGAAATTACAAGAAATATGTTTGTTAAAGCGATCGATAATTAGCTTTGTTTGTTTGGTTATTAAGTTACGGCAACGGAACACTTGGACAATCTGCCTAGGAATGATGCTTCTCGGGAGCTCTTTTAAGGGTAACTGGTTCCTATTCGGGCGTTACAAACGTGGAGAAAACCCGAAAAACTCCACGTGGCCAGCCCGTCCTAGCGAAGAGCGAATTCACCACCGAACTCTGTGATCGGGAACGGAACAGTTTGGCCACTGGTGGGCCCGATCGGTAATTAGTGATCGCATTTAAAAATATTACTCGCTAATATCATTTTTTTCACTGTTGAATTCTTTTAATTAAACCAGGACGATTTAATTTTGGTAATATATTGCACTTTTCGTCCTGTTTGTATGATAAAAGTTTCATTTAGTATGCCATTTTTATTGGAGCGTGTTGTCCTACATGGACTCAAATGTATGTGTACGCGTCAAATTCCTAGGTTGGCTGCGATGTCGGTTGCTTTCACATCACTTTCATACATCCATAAATGTATTTTCATTTCATCGAGTTTTCTTCTGTCTCCAACACCAGAAACAGACAAAATATATGTTCACTTTGTCGTTTGCATTTTTCCAATTGACTTAACCACAATACGAACAAAGACACTTCCATACGGCATACAAACATATAACACCAATCCGTGTATCACGTACAAGAGTACCGGTAACACCGAATACGACAAATCATTTTGTGATTTGCTAAAATTGCAAGCACTTCGTGAACTGCTTCCAGGAATTTACTTCGATCCGGTCATAATTTCCTTAGATATTACAAGTGTGAACCGCCGGGGAGATCGGGAATCGTCGACTCTCCCTGTACGGACAACAAGTCGTTAAACCTGCTCACTGTCAGGATAGCTTGTTTTACGATAACGGTCCCTTTGGTTGGGACTCAGATGTCAGGAGAGTGGAAGGAGAGTTTTTTTGGGGTCGACGATAAGGTGAAGGGCGTGATCGAGTAAAGGAGTCTACCATTTATAACAAATATAGAACAAGAATTTAATAGAAAATTAAAATGGACAATTAAAAGACTACACAAATTGCGTTTTTAAACCGCTTAATATGCTCGAGAGAGAGAGTTTCACGCTTTTCATACCTCTTTGTAGGTTCCGTGACGAGTAAATCCCTGGAGGCACTTAAATGTTCAAATAAAGGGTCTTTTAGCCACTAAAGCACAAATTTAAAAAGTTCGCGACTTTGGCCATGATCTGTTATCGACGATCGTAAATCGGAATTCGGCGGGTTCGGAAAATCGGTGCGATGTCGTCGGTCCGGCGTTCGTTAAGACACTCCCCCGAGAGGGGGTAAGAACTGTTTTTTATAAGTTTTCGTGGGGAATTTCCACCACGTGATCGGATGTTCACGAGTTAAAGGTTATAGGTGTTCCTGGGATCTAAAACAAGTGACGAAAGTTGGATGCTAACTGTAAACTTTTCTGCAAGATGAGCTGCAAGTTCTGCAGAGAACAATAAATGTTGATAGTTATGACAGGAAGGTTTACACATTCCCGGCTAAGATCGTTTTTTTTTTCTAATTCGTTACATAAACGAAAGCGAATTAATAAATTTTTTTGTTATAAAAGAGCGGGATTTTCGTTACTAAAATTCCGTATCTCACACAAGTGTTGTACTTAATTTAGGATAATTATCACTTTTAATACTTAAACATGTTTATTATATAAGACAAACGGTTGTCTTTTACAGAAGTGTTTCTCTTACTTTAAACAAATTTCTCTTTATAGGTGCAATACACGATCAACCTTCCACTAAATTTAGGAGAGGGTTGCGCGTGTCTTACCCAATAAGAAACACCGAGTAAAAATTGTTAGATCTATTAAATAAAAGAAGAATCATTTGTTTTATTCGAAAGTTTTATGAACATTGTAGTAATTTATTACGATAAAGTTCCATACACCTGTACATTTTTATACGAAATTAATTAACAAAACTAATTAAACTACAATCGGTACGACCACCTACAGCGTAAGTCGTATCTAAGAATAAAATGAAACAAAAACAAATAAAGCCTATATTTCTTTAGTAACGTGTTTAAATACTATTTCTATTGTTTGTATTTTTCAGCAACTCATTTCCGTTTATTTTCTTCTCTTGCCATTGAGGTTGCCTTTAGAGTGCGTAAAGACAAAGTAATTTCTTAAATCATACCAGAACCATTTGGGAATCTTATAATGGGTACGATTTCAGATACGACACGAGTTACATTTCAAATAAACATAAGAAAACTTTGAATAATCAACGAACTATCTTTTGTTTTTTTTTTTAATATTGGCGAAAATCGATAGTATAAAAAATTCGTATTTATTTTTCGTATTTCAAACATTGTCATATCGAATTAAAGATTGGTAAATTACTGTCAAATTTTTTTATATTAAAAATTTATGAAAACGCTAAATCTACGATTCCTTAAATTCCGATAAAATAAATAAAGCGAAAAACGAATGCTTTTAGTGAAATTTATTAAATGAATTTTAAATCATTATTATTAAGTAATTTTGAAGCAGAAACTCTGCGGCGTAAACCGAAAACATCCGATTAGTCTAACATTTTTCTTCATTCAATTACTTTGCTTCGGCTTTAACTGCAGCCTTTCTCGATGAGCTAAAACGACATCACGTGAGTAATTCAATTGTCTAAAACACCAACGAATTGTTAAACAACAAAGAACAACCTGGTGGAAACTGCAGTCTTCCCACTCTCACAAAGCTCCTTCAACTCCATCAAACTCACTTCCAGGTTCTGTGCAAATTTCTCCGAGTCGGTCGAGGGGTCGTTTTTGAACGACGAAATGCAAAAGACGATACGATCCTCTTGTGGATTGTACGAACAACCGTATCCATCGGGCATCACGGGACCGTATCCAACTTTGATGTTGTACGTCGTTGGAAGCTACAAAAGCCAATCAATTAATTCTCTTCAAATTGTTAAAACTTAATCAACGCAAATAGAAAAATGTCCGACCTGACTGGTGACTAATCGGAAATTCAGATACTCTTTGTAATAATCTGTTTGATAAAGTGCCGGTTCTTCTAAGCCGTGCAGAGCAGCCATTTCCTTTAAGCACAGAAGATGGTTATCCGGTCCTTCTCCGTTGATTGTCTGAGCGATAACAAATATTATCACAATCATAAAATTGATAAGTAATTCTGTTGATTCATTTATGGCTCTTTACTACTTACGTAGAGAAGAATTTCGGTTTGCTTTTTCACGGCTTTTTGAAATTTCGTCCATTTTTCAGCCTAAAGATATCGAACGAGTCAATTTGAATAAGATTTTGTAATAATTGAGAAATTAGCATTCGACTGACCTGACTCTGAGAAGGATCTAACATGGACTTTGAGAAATCAAAAGCCTCTTGGCTGGAAGCGCGGATGTTGTCGAAGCGACCGAATCTGAATATCCTCAACGCGGCACTTTCGTAAGTGGCCGTCACTTTGCCATGCGTTCTAATAAGAAAACAAGAGCATCGCTGATTTAGTTACACTCAAACAGGCATTAAAGAAAAGAGAATCGTCGATTAAACAAACCTGAAGTATGTCAACTGCAAACACAACTGAATGAACACATCGGGACTGATTTTTTGTTTCTTCGGAAAACCTTTGCCGTATTTGTCAAATATAAAAACATTGAGTTCCAGCGTATCGATTAATCTGAAAATAATGTTTACAGACAATATTTATACGTCCTTCGGATAATAATTGTCTTTAAAAATTTAAGATTTCGGAAATTAATTATAATCACTGATTTCATGCCATTGTCCGAGGTAAACCCTTAATTGACTAAAGGAAAAGTGAAATTGTTGCTCATATTCGTGAAACTTACTCGGCACGAGCAATTATTAGAAAGTTAAAGCGGTCATTTATTGTAATAGCTGCTTTATTAGACTAAGAGATCGATGCAATGAAAATAAATCAACGGAACGTCCTTCAAAGCTTCTGTATCTTCCGATCTTAATCTGTTGGAAAATCTTTGAAGGAATCTGGCTAGAGCTGGATACGCAAAAATGCAACAATATAATACTATGAACGACCCCGCAACACGCCTTAACTATGTTCGCTAAATGAGCCGTGTGAAAGATTTTATACGGAAATAAATCAGTGTCTTTATAATTACGAAATGCACTTAATTATTATTTACGGATCGTCAAAATTAGAGTATCTTACGCGTCTGTGACGGCCGATGCCTTTTTCAACTCTTCTGCGAGAGGTTCACTGATATTCCACGCAAGTCTTCTAACTGTCACGTAATCTTCCGTTGATCGTCTGATAACACCAGAGAGCCAGGGCTCATCATTTTCCCTGTAAATACATTAATCACTTAACTTCCATTCCTTATATTTAATTCAAAAGATAAAAATGTCTTACAAGAAATCCAAAAAATTTTCACAGAATCTTAAAACTGTGATCCCTTCCGACATCGAATGTTCGATCACAATTCCGTTAACACCATTTTTGGTCACAATAAACTACAAAACGTCAAGAGTAAACTTCGATTTACATACAATTTTATATGCAAAGTAGATAATTGTATTTCATTTACAACTTTCAATTTCATCATGTTGAAATTCAAAAGCAAAATGACAACGCAGGTGACACGAATATAAATAAAACTATTCGACTTTTTTTATTATTTGTTTGCAATGAATAAATTTTACCTGAATAAATTTATCGAACCATCTGTTACCGGTGGAATGCCCGCTTTTATTGCCGTGAAGAATGTGGTGGGCCATCTCTTCCAAACTCACGTCCGAAAAGCTCTTCGATGTCGTTTGTTTCCTCGCCCCTTCGTTCGATTCGTCCATGCACACCACAAACATGCAATTTTCAATAATGTGAATGGACTCTTTATTATTATCGTCTGCGTAATCGTAAATTTCGGTTAACGATCGAGAATTTTTAATATGTAAAAAATTTTTGGCTTTTCTCTCTCACTTTCGATCATTCGTTCTCTTATCGTCGCCCATTCTTTTCGATTGAGAGCCGTGAGAATACCCACTGGCGGATAGTGTGGCTCCTGCTTACTTAGCGCTTCGATTTTCTTGAGTTCTTCTACCAGAATTTCTTCTCTTGGATGACCTGATCCACCAGGTGTTTTCATTTGAAATAACTGTTAAGATAAGGTAAAGTTAAGGATGAAAGGCAGAGAAATGTAGAAGGGTGTGGGTTCACAGTCCCACCTTGCATCGCATATATTAAAAATTAGGACCAGGTATAAGTGCAATATTTACACGAAGTGTCATTCGAGCTCGTTGACACATACAATTCCTTGAGGAGGAAGTTACACTAAGAAGTAATGATAGTAACCACTTCAATTCGCGTGGAGATCCTTTTCAGCAGGTCGAGACGAAATAGTTCGCGTGAAGTATATTGGTACAAGGTAAGGGTAACAATCCAATTGGCGTGAAGAAAAATAACAGCAATAGAAATAACAATATCTACTCGCATGTGTTGAAACAAAACAAGCATCCCGTATAGATTACAAAACAAAGAAGAATAAATAGCAAATACAACAACTCGCGTATAGAAAACAAACGGGACTATTAATAAGTTCAGTGTTTCATGACTTACCCTTCTGTAAGCGGTGTTGAATCAGCTGTGCTCTGTGGTTTTCGTAGAAGGGGACTCAAGAATGTAGTGCGTTAAGTTTCCCCCAGAAGTGCCATCGCAACTACACTTATCACTATTTTTTTTTGTTAAAGCGATAGAGATAGGCAGGGAAGTTGTCACGCCCGGTCAGCCGTTGCGTGATAATATGACTCGCCACAATGTAATTATAGTGTTGTCTCTTGTGAACAGAAGGGAGAAAATTAAAGTTTTTTCTGCTAGTGTTAAAGTCTGTCCACTCCTTTTGCCAGTCATATAACACTTTTCATATATGTGATCGGAATCTTGAGGAAAAAGCTATGGACGTAGAGAGATGCCCCCCTTTTTGCCAAAGCGTACTGATTTCCAATTATTCCTGTATGCTCAGGGATCCAGATGAACGTAATCTGGTTAGTTTTATTACTGGCTTATTAATTTACTTGACGTATGACAAAAAATCACGGGAATCGATTGAAAGGAATATTTTCGATATGGGACCAATGCAAGAAAAAGACTGTGAACCCCCGTAATAGTGTTTAACGTGGGTTCAGGGTGATTTAAATGAACCTATAGATAAAAAAATTTATTGTAATATATTTTATAATCAAACAGTCTTAAAATATTGAAAAGTTACAAGGACAACGAACGAAATTATTTAAAACGATGGAGTCGGTTTCTGTTTCATTCACTTAATTGTATTATTAAAGATACACGAAAAATAATGACACGAAATTGTTCTTTTCCATATTACCTGATTGTTGCACACCACAATGATATATCGGTTTCCTTCTCTAAAAATGTGCTCGTCTTTAATCGCGCCTGGTCTCCTGTAAGCCTCGAAGAAGTGATGATACGTGGCCATGGAAAGCGCATTACCTTTCCCTTGTCCTCCAGCAAATTCCTGTTTTAATTTACCTCTACAATAATTCAAACGAATCATTTAGGTCAGTCTCCTTCGTGTAAATAATTCGTTTCTTGTTATAAATGTCTGTTTACCTGTCAACTTCTTCCTTAAACATAAGCGAAAAGATGATAAATTTGGCAATGAATCTGGAAAATAATACACACTCGTCGATAAGAAAATTACTTAGAAATGACTAATTAACGAGAAACCATTACCGAAATCTTTCGTCATCCGTTTTGAATTCTTGTTTCGGCAGCAGAAAGAACGGACTGGAGTTGATGGGCAGAGGCAAAGGATTTTTTAAATACATATCGTTCGTACAGAATCCAGTTACCTGCAAAAGCGTTTATAATTATTTCCAGTAAAACTTTTTATCGAGAAAGAAGAAAAACTCACGTAATTTTCTTTGCTTTCTGCATATTTCTTCAAGAACTCCTGCAGCTTTTGCATTTCGCCCGACTTTTGATATTCTTCGACCAATCTACGAGCTTCCTGGTATTTGTCACCGGGGACGATTGCTTTGATTCCTTCCAAGAATCTGTTTAGAGTGACGGAGAGCTCGGGAACCGGCGGCTTTGGCAGTTTCTACGAGAGAAAATGATTTATCAAATGTAAATGTACTATGATTGTTGAATGCATCGTCAATTACCATACAAAATATAAAATTCCTTATCGCATTTGATGATTTAGACTTACGCTTTCTTTGATTTCAGTCATTTTCTCTTCGTTTCCGTAGGAGCTCGATTTGCAACAACTTGCCGAAGACATTTGTTAAAGTTGAAACAATGAGAGTCGGTTGTTTGACAATAATGCGTTGACAGTATTAATACGTACATATTAATGCTGCTTACTTAGCGCTTCGATTTTCTTGAGTTCTTCTACCAGAATTTCTTCTCTTGGATAACCTGATCCACCAGGTGTTTTCATTTGAAATAACTGTTAAGATAAGGTAAGGTTAAGTATATATGTTTAATACAATTCTTTGCTAGCTATAAATAGTTTTTTTTCTATTTACACTATACATATACTTATGTATATATGTATGTGTTGAACCGTATTATATATCTGATTTTTTGTTATATTTTTAATCCAAACAAAACATCTGGGATTTAAAAAGAATTCGTCAAGTAAAAGCTTATGACAATTTAGACGACACTCAAACTTTTTTAAAGAAAATATTGTAAATTAATTACAGTTAGTTTTGTTGGACGTCCATAGATGTTACGGAAAGTTAAACATTGGGGAGGGGAGTAGAAACTTTAAGGAAAATGGACGTAATTTACGGACAGCTTTTTATGGAAAAATATGAATGAAAAGAATTTACTTGCAACGTACATCATAAATACCTTTTATTGTGATCCATTAGTTTACATTATCACTTACATCACCTTTGATCGTATTTACCTTAGATGAGTTCGGGGTGTGATATAGGACAAGCGAACACGCCGTTTTAAATGCTCTACTTTAGTGACTTTCATTAACTATAACTTTAAAGTTAAATAGATTATTATATAAAATAAATTTGTTATATTTTTCATTAAAACTTTAATAATTGGTATGAAAAAATATTCTATATTAGAACGTGCATCGTCATAATGCCGGGCTGCACTTTTTAATCATATGGTCAGCTGATAAGATAAGTCAACAAATATAATGTTTGATTATAAGAGAAATTTGTAAACTTCTGGAAGGAAAACGTCTCAAATATTGATATCATACAGCAAATGGCATAGTGGCTAAAAAATGAGTTAACAATGGTAAAGTATTTCAATGAGACGACATATCTCCTTCAAAAAATTACTAATAATTTAATCAGGTTTCATCAAATTCTAAAAGAAACAGAATATTGTTTCATTCAGTTTACAATTTACATTTATTTATGAGTATATTTAAAACACTGCAATTAACTCACTCTTTGACAATTAACTGACTCAATTGAAGTTCTTTTGATGTTATATTTTTGGCAAAAATAAAATCTGTAAATTTTTTCGTCCGGTGGAGATTATTTTTTTAATAAAGTTGAAGTTTTTTTAAAAAGATTTTTAAAAGAACTTTTTAAACTTCTGACAACAAGTAACCTAAAAGGAAGGTCTGTTGCCAAGAATGTGTATTGTCTGGAACACGGAAATAATAAATGGTAATCCTTTATTGGGCATACTGTCTTCAATTTTATTAAAAAATGAAATAGGAAAAAGAGAAGGAAAAGCAAATAAAATTCAAAATTTAAAAAAAATGATTGAATGGATAGGTTTAACAATGACGTCAACTCTTAAGGTATCTTGATATAGCTTCTATGTATGAAGAAAAACAAAACTATTAATATCTGGTATCGGGCGACTACAAATATATGAGGAGAAAGTACACTTTCTTCAACAAATGCAAAAGCCTAGGATAAAACAGCCAGATATTTTCAATTATTTCATAAATTATTTTTGTATATTTTCACAGAATGAATAACAAATTGGAAAAAGTCTCGAAGCCCACAACTTCTTTCAATTAACTATTTTTTAGTTATTATTCAATTTCGTTGTAATTAAACTGACCATATTCAGACCGTATATTGTCTGTTCTGTTTATCGGATTTTTATGAAATTTGGTACATACGTTATACACACTACAAGGAAAACATTTGTACAATACACGTGGTTCGAAATTCTATCACCCGCTGTATATGTGGCGCTTATCCAAGAACGAAGACAAGTCAGGAGCTAACTTTATTCTATCACAAAATCTGTTCAACGTGTATTCCATTAACATTACTTGTTCAAAGCGCATTACAGCGTGTTCAATAGTAACGCGAAGAAAGTCTCGACGAATTTCGGCAAAATGGCGTGTAGGCCTAATCTTGGGCCTACACTACCTTTCGATTCAGGCAGGATCCTAATCCACTCTTCAAAAGAACAAATTCTAAGGAATCCCTACAACTCGAAGTCACAGGTTTTCAAATCCAGTAAATCAGGAGGCCAAGCATCCTCAAAGCTCTGGATATTACCCGATCCTCGCCAAAGTTATCACGAAGCAGTTCCTTGACTTGTCGTCTAATTTCGGGAACTGCTCCATCTTCCACGAAGACGGTGGAATGTAAATATATTATTTCCGATCCTGTCAATTAGGAATGACTAAATGTTGAAAAATTTCACATTAACACGCACTCAGACAGAGCATGTAGATAACAGTGCGTTTTAGCGGGTCTTCAGGTTGCAGCTTTCGCCAAATGTGAATCTTGTACGGATACAATTTTAAAATGGACCAAGAGCTTTTCGCACCGTCAGACAAGACAGTACGAAAAGCTCTTCGATAGACATCTCACCTGACACCGCTCGAGCAATTGTTGAGGAATATTGTAAACTGGAGGCTCTGGAAAAAACTGCAACAGCAGCTTTTTCGGCAATATTTTTTTGCAATCGGTTTCTGCCCTGTTCTAGACAGCACATCCAAGTCTTCATTCTCTTCAAATTTCGAAATCGTTTCTATGACGTAGATCCTTCTCGAAATTCTTTTACTCTTGCAATAAACAAAAAGTCTATTAATATATATGTATATATGTATATATGAATGGTAAATAAAAACTATTAACATACAGTAGACCCCCCTATAACGCTGGTTCCTATAACGGACATTCCTATAACGTGGCGAAAAAATTGCCACAGTATTCGTGTAAAGACGCTAAAAAAGACTCGTAAAACGTCGTCGCCGACTCGTGTCGCGACAGGATTGGTCGAATCTGGACCAATAGTAGACGAGCAGACGAACTATTTACACGCTACAGAGAGTTTAGGCCAGTAAGTTGAGTTTACTATCGTATGTACAGTACAGTCGATCCCCCTATAAGATCATAGATACGTTCCATTTTTTAGGAATCCGATTTCTTAAGAGTCGTTCCAATCACACACGGACACTTGTGAAGTTTACGGACTACGGCTGATTAAAAGGTTTTCTTCCATAAAATTAATCGATTCTAGACTAATCCGACTCAACTTCGTAGAACTTTGGAGACATCATTAATATAAATAATTTTAATCGCCGTTGAATAAGAAATGTTTCTTTCACAAGAAATGTATAAAATAACAGTACTGTATTAGACTAACGGTACCTAATTTACATACTGTGTAGACGATAGTTAGCGTAAAATCTCCGTAGCGTGGCGCCACGCGGCGGAAAAAAAAATATATAATTATAATAAAGTTATAATAAATTAAGTTAATATATAATTATATATACAGTACCTAATTTATATATAATTTATATAATACTGTCCAGACGATAGAAATCTCTCCGTAGCGTGGCGCTACGGACGGCGGGAAAGTAGTTCGGCTTCCCGATGACGTTTGAGGTGTTTATAGGGAACTTTTACTATTTTTTACGGATACCGGTAGCAATTTTTTCGTAGTTTTATAGGAATCGTAATTATAGGGACCGTAATTATAGGGGGGTCTACTGTATTATATATAAATTAGGTACTGTATATAAATTAGGTACTGTATATAAAATTATATGTTAACTTAACTTATTGTAACTTTATTATAATTATATATATACAGTAGAGCATCGATTATCCGACCCCCCGATTAACCGTCACATCGGTTAACCGACCGTTCTAGTCGGCAAATTTCAAATGTCCGCTAGTGATGTGGCGCTAAAATATTTGGCTATGTCTTGGCTACTTTAATAGTATTTTTACATGTTTTAGCTGGCAACAAGGCTCGACCATGAAAGGGAACCAGTATTTAAACGAGGCTTAATTTTCTAATTTTAAACGATACAATAGCGACGATTATTATTTTGAAAACTTGTTAGGCTTAACATCGATGAAAATTCAACGCGAAGTAGGATAATTAATAGCGATATACTAATATACTAATAACGTATTTTTTCATATTTTTCGGTTATCCGTTTTCTCAGTTGTCCGACCAACCCCAGTCCCCAATTGAGTCAGATAATCGATGCTCTACTGTACTTTATGCCGTCCAGCGCCACGCTACGAAGAGTTTAGGCGAGTAAGTTGAGTTTACTATCGTTTGTACAGTATGTAAATTAGGTACCGTAAGTCTAATACAGTACTGTAATTTTATACATTTCTTGTGAAAGAAACATTTCTTATTCAACGGCGATTAAAATTATTTATATTAATGATGTCTCCAAAGTNAACCAAGAGATATTCTCTGCCTTTAAAAGACTTGCAAAAAAGATCAATCAGATCACAAGCCAACTAATCTACTGCTAACACTGACTTTGACTTAAAGACTGTCTACTTATCGTGTTAGCTTTGTAATTATTAGTGTTATTAATTTTATTTAATTATAAGTTTTATGCATTTTATCCACAATTACGAGGTTCTGTATGGAATGTAGATTCCATAAATACAATAAACAGTAAATATAATGTATCTGCTGTTTGCATATATCAACATGTATTATCTTATCCTGTATGTAATTTATGGACTTTGTCTTTTATATGCAGTTCTGCATGGAATCTACAATGTACTCACTGCTGTTCGCTTATGTTTTTCTGTATTCATTTTCTTCTACTAGTAATTTTGTGGATTTAATGTCGCGCGAATACTTTGTTTTACTATAGTATAATTTTATTTTATTTTATTTTATTATAATTTCATGTATTCTATCCATTAACTTAAAGTTCTGCATGGAATCTACAATGTACATACTGTTGTTCGTTTACATTTCCTGTATTTTATTTCCTTGGTAGTGCTCATAGCGGAGCCAAGGTATGCATTTATGCCTCCGTAAATAAATTGAATGAATGAATGAATGGTGCGCTGCTCCGCGACGAAAACAAGCTTAAGCAACGGCGATGTCGAATGGTGCACACTCGGA